TTACTTTATTTAATTTCTTTATACTTATACCTACATTAACTTTTACTTACACTATTAAAAATGTGTAAATAAATTCTTTTTATGTTTATTTGCACTTAATATAATTTATTTAAATGTTTGATTTTTTCTTTTTTTTTTAATTTCGCTCATATTTATATTTCTAAGTACTCACTATTTGAGATTAAAGATCGCACAACTCACTGGCAATTAAAGGAGTTTATATAGAAATATGCGTATTATGTTTATAAATATTTCTTAAATACGCTACAGGCTGTTTAATTAATTGTTATAAATATTAAAAAAATTATATTTTCGCTTTGAAAAAGTCTTAGCTTATAACTTTAAAACTTTTTTCGTAGAATGCAATGAGTAAATAATGTGCTACATACTTTACTTTAAATTGTTTCCCTTTATTACCATTTATTTGTATTTATTTTTCCAAAGTATGAAAATTTTCTACAATAACTTACTTATTTTAGTGCGTAAAATTGGTACTATATATATTTTTGTTACACCATAATATTTACAATTTAATAATAAATGTCTGAAACTGCGTTTTGTATATAATAAATACTTTTGTTAACGTCTTTATATTAATAAAGTCTCAACAACAATTTGAAAAAAAGTCAATTTTAATATATATTTTTTTATTTACTGCAAAATTAAAAGATGTATGTGAAATATTTCTGTACAAAGAAGGTGAGCCACCACCATTTATGTCTGTATTTACATATGTATTCAAGTAAATATGGGATTTTTTTATACCAAAGATTGAAAAGTAAAAATATTTGCAACTTGAAGACAGTCGTTCATTTGGTACTTACAAAATCTCACTGTCATTACGAAATTATTGAAGTACTCTTGTCATTATACCTATTTTGCATGATCTTTAAGTCAGCTGGMAAACGGAACTGCGCTCATTTCAATCCGTCATTTCAGAGCATGCGCTCAATTGCCACTGACGTCACTTTCAGTTGAGATAAACTTCTTCGACTTGCTCGCCATCGCATTCCTGCTGATCTTGCACCTCCTGCAGCTGTTGCAAGTGGTGCTCCTCTACTTCCTCTTCGTCGTCATACTCAAGCAACTCCTCTTCGTGCGTCTGCTGCGACTGGCCGTTGCCGCCGTGATGCTCGATGACGATCTGCTGATGTTGTTGCTGTTGATATTCGTCTTGGTCCTGCAAGTCCAAGGGATCTAGCACCGTTGTTGTATTTTGCTGCTGGTGTTGTTGCAATTGTCGATGCGTTAGCAGCTGATGATGTTGATGTGTTTGCTGCTGTTCAATTATTTCGTGTTGCTGATGTTGTTGGTGTTGCTGCTGCTGGTGATGATGCAAATCGCTGTGCGCCGTCGTCGTGAAGACAAGCGGCGGCGGCGAACTACTGCTCACATGATGATGATGTTGTTGTTGCTGTTGTTGATGTTCTACCGTTTCCGTGGCAATGCTATGATTTCGTACAATATGACCGGCGGTCGATTTACCAGAGCGCGTCAGTGTGACCGTCACCTCAGATCCGAGGCCGGCAAATGACACGGGTGTGGCGGTGCTAACATTCGCATGCGTCGCTGCCGCCGCTCTGGCATGGAGGATTTTGCGCGTGGTGGTTGTGGTCGCGACCCCACCGCTATTCGCTGTGGCGCTGCTAACCGTGTGCGCTTGCGTTTGCGTATTGGGCGATGTGGCTGCCGATGCACTGGGCGACACATAGTTGATGAGCAGCACACGTTCACCAGTGGTTGTTTGTGCTGCATGGCCACGCAATATGCGCGTACGATGTGTGCCGCTGCCGGATGCGATCGGTTGGGCGCCAGTAGCAGCTGCGGCTATGGCGGCTAGACCGCTTGAACCGCTGCTCTGTTGATGGTGCTGCTGCTGCTGCTGTTGTTGGGCACGGCTGAGGCGTGTGGTGCTTACCACACTACCGCTGATGGTGTTGCTGTTGTTGCCGTTGCTGTTGCCGCTGCCGCCACCACTGCTCCCGCCTATCACGCCTATCCCGCCTCCTCCACTACCGCTGATCATATCGTTGGCTCATCATTACGTATTATTACCGCCTTTCAAAATGAAAACTTTCTTTACCAAAATATTCTTATTGTTACCCTATTTTGTTATATTATTTTTTTATTATCAATTGATGTTTTTTTTTTGTGTTTGGTAGTTCATTGTTAGATATGATTGTATGCAAAGATGTAATTTATTCGTTTTATTGATTTTTTTGTTTTGTTTTTTTGTTAAATTTGGTGAGATACGAGGCAGCCACAGTAAAAAAGAAGAAAAGATAAGAATAAAATGCAAAGTTAATGAGATTAATGTTATATTCGGATGAGAAGTACATATGCAATAATTAGTCACGAGTTTTTAATAATATATTGCAGCATATAAATGCTTCAGCAATAAGAGTAATAACTTTTGGTATATGCTGTTCAAAAAGTTATCAGCAGATTAGTTACAAGATCGATGGAGAGTGCATGTGATTGCCCTATAGTCTGCCTAAATGAAAGTAAAACTGAGGAACCTGCTTTTTTAGGTTATCTAAATAGCCTATATTATGTAATATTGTTAGCAGGTATTTGTATATAATSTGCAAGGTAATTTTTGTAGCTAAAAATTGTTGAAAGTATGCTCGCTAGCTATAAATTAGCTATAATTTTTTTTTGTTTTTAGAATCGGTACACTATATGCAGTATCATACAATCCGATATTCTTCTTAGAACATAACTGCACTGCGACCCTAGAGCCTCAATATTTCGTAATATATTTGTTTTGAGCTTATTCACGTGATGTTTAGTGCAAGCCCCACGCACTGCACAACCGTATACATATACACAATACACATACAAATATGGAAACTAAAAGTATTAAAAAAAAAAACACCAAAACTCATACAAAGGCAATGCCGTTAAGCATGCGCATTTTGCAAGTCATTACTCCAYACATACAAGTATATAAAAATACGGCATGCAATGTTAATTACAGACAGTTAAGCCACATACATTTATTACAAAAAACACACACACATATTAGCATACTTATAGTAAGAAAAGTATTTTAACGAAAACCAACACCGCCAAAAAGTATATTGTACACAAAACAAGGAAATATAAGTAACAAAAGCAAGGTATGCACATAACACAAAATTACGTAGAAGTATAAAAAGAAGCATGAAATTTAACACAAATATACAAAAACAAAGCAATGGAGAAAGACGAAGTGGGATTTGGAAGGGTTCATTGAAAAATAATTAAATTCAAAGATTAGTATTTTTTGTTGGCTTTCAAAAATTGTTTTTTTTTTTATTATTTGTAATTCATAATTTGCTAACCAAAACAAATAAATCAAATTAATAATTACAATCTAATGACTAAATGATATTATAAGAATAAGTAAGAAAAATAGATAGGTGTAGATAGTAACTGTAGGCTTTTTTAATGCTGTGCAAAGTTTATGCTTTTCTATAGGCAAAGAGTTTTTTCAGTTGTTTAGGCGTAAATATTGCTAAATTTAAAAATAAATATAGAAAAAAAATATAGGATAGAATGCATGATTTATGGAATTTATATGGAAAATTTTT